ATGAGCATCTTTGTCCTTAATTCTTCTATGTCGAGCTAAAAATTCTTGAAATCTTTGTCCTTAGTTCTTCCTTTTCATACAATTATAACTCATAATAAAATTAACTACCAATTTTACATAAAAAAAATAGATGCAAGATAATTATNAATGAGCATCTTTGTCCTTAATTCTTCTATGTCGAGCTAAAAATTCTTGAAATCTTTGTCCTTAGTTCTTCCTTTTCATACAATTATAACTCATAATAAAATTAACTACCAATTTTACATAAAAAAAATAGATGCAAGATAATTATTTTTTCAAAATTATACGTCAAAGTTAAGATGAAAAATTAATTAGGTAAATATATTATATAAACATAATTAAGTACATATAAAAAGATAAATTAAAAGATTAAATAATAAAAATAATAATATTTTAATGGAAAATAGTAAATGAGGAGATGAATAGTGTGTCCCAAATTTGGGGAGACACTATTCACTCCCTATTTTGGGGATAAATATGGGGAGGGTTGGAGCGAAATTTTCTAATTTTTATTCTCATTTTGGGGACAAGTTTGGAGTTGCTCTTGCCCTTTCAGTTGTAAGCCGTGATTTAACAAATTAACAACATTCCAATAAAATTATGCCACGTCAGCCTCCCATTTATAATTCCAAAACACGTCCAGGTTCAATGAAGTTGGAAATCCGCCCCTTTCTCTCTTATAAAATCAGAACACACTGCAAAAAAGAGAAAGTTTTATTTCTTCCTCTAACAAGTATAGAGAAGAAAGATTTGCAACTGATATGATTTATGTCAAGTAAATTACACTTGAAATGAATATTGAACCCGAATTTCATAAGAAACGTATGATATATAGGAAGTAACAATTTGATAAAAATGTTAATAATAAAATCTCAAAATCTTTCGAAGATTCCTTTGGAGTTGATTACTTTATATATAGTAGATAAGACTATTTTTTTCACTTCAAAATAGTTTTGAACAATTCGAAGCATATGAAAATATTTTTGGTTTTCTATTTAGCGGTAAAATTAAGATCATTAGATGACGGAAATTTGAAAAAATATTGTCTTAATATTGAATGTTCCTTAAAAGATAATAATCAATTCGATATTGATGGTTTTCGGAATTAAAAGTATTTAGGAAAATAATATAATTAGAAGACAAAAGTTTGATTGATACACTTTGTCAAATAAAAAGATTTGATTCTTTTCCGATGTCTATATTACTTATGGAATAATGTTAATAACTCTTATTACCGTTGTTTCAGCGGAAAAAAAATTTCAAAATTAAAATTGATAAAATATTACCTAATATCAACAATGTATCAAAACGGGTATGTATCAAAACGGGTTAAATGGATTAGCTATAAAAGACTTATTAGGAGTTATTGATTGTATGAAAATTATTAAACGCTAGAAGAATACACTTCGAATAAGAACCATAATTTTTTTCTTTTTAAAGTTTCAATTTTTACTCTCAAATTGTAAATGCGATAAATATTAGGCAATTTTATTGGTTTGCTTGTCTCACTTTCTGTACTATTGTTCCTCTGTAGTATCACAAATAATGGGTACAACTCAGGCTCAGCCAATGGATCGGTCCCAAATTCAGTCGGCAGCGGTGAATTTATGCGTTTGGCTGTGAAGCCATTGAATGCAGAGCCGAAACGGAATGAGTCAATAGTTCCATTTGCAGCGACCATCGTCGCTCCTGGTGCGTTATCTCTCGTTTTATTTGGATGTTATTTGAATATCATTAGTTTTTTAAAAACTAAAAAAGAAAGTAGATGAGTATTAATGTCTTTACGTGTGTGCTTTACGGGTTACAGCCATGGGCGGAGCTAGGCGGCGCAAGAGACGGAACCAGGATTTGAAACTTATGAGTTCGGTATTGCAATTATTTTAAGTTACTGTATTCTAAATTATATATTTATACTTATTCAATTGATTTTTTAAGATAAATACAAAGCACGAACGAAAGTTACTGGGTCGGCCGAACCCACATCTAACACTGTGGCTTCGCCCCTGGGAGCGCAATCCGAACCCCCTTCAACAAGAAAATTATACTGTATATATAAGGTCAAAATTATTTTTTATGTATTTAATAGCCGGTGGTGGAGCCACATTCAACCAAGGGGCGTCAAATGAAACTCCTTTAGCTAGAAAATTACACTGTATTGTTCGTTTTATGTATATTTACAACAAGTTGACTCCCTTTGATTTTTTGGTGTATTTAATTTCTTATATTTTGACACCCCTTAGTGAAAATCTTGGCTCCGCCACTGATAGTAGCTATTGAATCTCCTTGAATTCCATGTGTATTTACTTCTTTATATTTTAATTCTCTTAGTAAAAATGTTGGCTTCACCACTATTGCAACTTATTTTGTAATGGAATTGACTGGCCTTGTTTGGTGGGTATGTAGAAGTGGAAGACAAAGTAGAGGAGGCAGAGAATTATGAGAAACTGGCCGAAGAGCTAACAAATGCTTCTCCACTTGAGATTATGGATAAGGCCCTTGAGAAATTTGGAAATGATATTGCCATTGCTTTCAGGTACTTTTAGGTCTAGAATCTATAGTTGTGTAGTTGTAAATTTCACCTGTACTAATAATATGAGTGTACCATGTTGATTTATTTATGCTTAATATGATTGTATTATTTTGTTTTCCAAATTATTGTATCAGTTTCTGGTTGATTATTATTTGGCTAAATTATTGTATAATAAACGATGAAATATTAGTGAGCACAAGAAGGTTGGGACCAAAATGAAAAATATCAATTTGATTGCTACAGCTTTTGTAAGTTCTGAACAGTTTTTTTTGGAGAAACACATTTGCTTCAGGAATATTGTTTTTACTGTGAAGCATGCTTGAGGTGAATGAGTTTAAGCATCTGAGACTTAAAAATTTATGTTTTTTCTTGCGTAGGAGTTATTCCATGCAGCATGTCGTATTTCCTAGACGGTGGATTGTTAGGAACCTATCCAAATAGTTTCATAAACTTGTTTCTTAATATACAAAACTTTTGTTGCTTTGTTATTTGCTAATATTATTATCAAATCAATCACTAGTCAAAGTTCTATTTGCCGCAAATGGGAAGATAATTCGAGATGCCATTTTGACATTCATCATTTTGTTGGTCACTTAGCATACTGAATATGACAAGAGTGAGTTGCTCTAGTGGTGAGCATCCTCTACTTCAAACCAAGAGGTTATGGTTCGAGTCACTCCAAGAGCAAGGTGGGGAGTTCTTGGAGGGAGGGAGCCGAGGGTCTATCGGAAACAACCTCTCTACCCTAGGGTAGGGGTAATGTCTGCGTACACACTATTCTCTCCAGACCCCACTAATGAGATTATATTGGGTTGTTGTTGTTGTTAGCATACTGAATATCCTTGCTATTCTACTTGTTTATCTGAAATCTGGGTAAAGATTCCTCTTTAAAATGACTTTCCATATTGGTTATTGTCATACCTGTGAGTGGGCTAACCCAAATGAAATAAATCAGCAAGGTTTGGACAGTGTTGGGCCGCCAATAAACTCTGTTAGACGAAGTGGTCGGGTCAAAAGGCCCTCTCAGAAACTAACTGACTTTATCTGGAAAAGCAACGTGGGGCTCAGAAACTAACTGACTTTATCTGGAAAAGCAACGTGGGGAACTAGTTATTTAGTGAGTAGTGGATATTGGAATTGGGTAGAAAAAGTTTGAAGTAATTTCCCTGTTCTCTTCTATCCTCTCTGTAATTCTTCTTAACTTCCTCTCCTCTTTTCTCTTTCTGAATCTTTCTCAGTTCTAGTACTATTATTGTAATAGTTGTTTGTCAGTTTGTAAATTAAATCTAGACCTTCCTGTTATTACATTGTTATATTAAATATTAAATTGGGTTATAACATTTTGGTGCTTTCATTGATTTATCCGCGATGCCGGACTTGAAAAACAAAGGTTCTGATGAGCCGTTGATGGAGATATGCGAAACACAATCTGGATTTTCACGCGACCTTGCTGATTTTCGAACAGCTATGGCGCAAAATCAAAAAGTCATGCAAGATATCTTGTCTCAAATGGCTGCTTTCTCTTTGCAACAGCGTTCAACCGGACTTGAACCTTCATACCATCATAGTCCTGAACCATCGCTACACCAATCATCACACGGGGTGTCCTATCCTACTTTACGCGATAAACCAGCACCAGTGGAGTTTGGCCGTTTTAATGGTGATACTGCAGAGGCCTGGGTGGTGGTGGGAGGATGCTAAGGCCAAGGAATGTGGCTTACATAAGGGAAACATCAAGGATGAAATTGTGAACGGTAATGGAAATGGCGCTGTCCATGCAAATGGTACTACCACTGTTGCTGATATTTTCAACACCAAGGACATCGTAAGCTTGAGCAGGCCTGGAGTTGAGAACCTATTGAAGTTGGAAAACAGAAGAGAACCTTGGCTTGTTGTTCTTTATGCTCCTTGGTGCTGCTTCTGTCAGGTAATCAATCTTTTCATCAACAGTAGTTTCGTGGATACAGATACAGCCTCCTGTAGAAATACAATGTAAGGTTGTATACAATAGACCAACTGTTCGACCCTTCCCTAGACCCTGCGCTTAGTGCTTAGGGGCTACCTTTTTTTAGCAACTATAGTTTCGTCTTCTGCTAAGATGGCTTTGATAAATGATCTTTCTTCTGATTTTTGTACAGGCAATGGAAGGATCCTATGTTGAATTGGCGGAGAAGTTGGCGAATTCTGGTGTGAAGGTAGGGAAGTTCAGGGCAGATGGTGAACAGAAAGCTTTTGCACAACAAGAATTGCAGCTTGGCAGCTTCCCTACAATACTTTTCTTTCCTAGGCATTCTTCACAGCCGATTAAGTACCCATCGGAGAAGAGGGATGTAGACTCGTTGCTGGCTTTTGTAAATGCCCTTAGGTGAAAGGTAGATAGTTTCTTTACATGTCTTGAGGTGAAGCAAATCAGCAATAGAAAAGGGACTTGTATAGGTAGCAAAGTATACCGTTCTCTGCCTTGTTTTTTCTTTTTATCTTTTCTTTCGACAGCCATTTCTGGTAACAGTTTTGATTTCTCGGGGCTCAGTTTTGTGAATCAATGTAAACACAAATTTCTCGCTCCAGCCAGGGATGGAAACAGTGTAGTGCGGTTACAGTATGTTAATACTTTGAGGACAGTTTAATTCCTTGTTGTAAAGCTATTGCCCTTGTTAATTTATAGTTAAGTAAGTATGGTTTTAGATTGGAAGACAATTTGATTCATTCTTGAAAATGTAGTTTTCTCTTTTATTTGCGCTAGGAATTTTTGAATTGAAAATAATTCAATTCCTTTTTGGAAGGTATTCTCTTTTCCAAGTTTATAAGTTTTGTTTCAAGTTGACAAGTTTTTACCAGTAGAACGTTCTCTATTATTTTAGGACGTTAATTAAACTATTAAATAAATTTTCATATTTCTTAATAAGGTTTTTGACAACATAAATCAAAGATGTGTATTGTCACACATGGCTAATATTTGTTCATTGCTCGCTAATATTTGAACAAATATTTGTTCATTGTTCGCTGTGAAGTTAATCGTAGACTGTATATCTTGTAAGAATACTAAACAAAATGTGAATCCTAAAACTTCTTTCTCATTCAACTCTCTCGTTCACTTTCTAGTTTAGTTTCTTCTTCTACTTAATTTTCTTCTTCAATTTTTTATCCTCAAAATCTTTTCTGCTTCCTAATGTTGCATCAACAACAAATACAATCACTCTGAAAGTTTATGAAAAAATCATTGATAGTTTTGATGGTAAGTCTTTGCCTACTAAGAAGATGATGGAAGAATGGCTAAGCATCCGTGATGAAAAAAACCGCAACGAAAGTGGTTAATCATCATCATCATATCATCATACTATATTATAAGTGGAAAGTTTCAAAGTTGAAATTGAATTACCAAAATGTCCATCAGAATTTGAAAGACCATCTAACCTTTCCTTTAAACACTACAATTCTTATAATAATTTTGTACCAAAAAGTAAATTTACATTCCAATAAATGATAAATATCAATAAAATTAAAATAAATTATTCTTTCAAAAAGTATATAGGAAATTTACACCTTATTGAATTCAAATTGTGATGTACTCATTGATATAAGTTTATTTGGCGAACCATTACACCTATTTGGAGTGTTTGTTCATCTTTTTTTTCTTCTTGTATTTGATGCATAATATATGCAATACTCATTTCTAATACATAAATAATCTTTTTTTTCTTGTATTTGATGCATAATATATGCAATACTCATTTCTAATACATAAATAATCTTTTTTTTCTTGTATTTGATGCATAATATATGCAATACTCATTTCTAATACATAAATAATTTTCATTTACGAAGTATATGGTAATTCATGATTAACAAAGTACATGGTAGGATGAGCAAGAAATTTAATTGAAAGCAAGATATGTAAGCTAAGTGAAATAGAAATCTATAATTATCTTAGACTTGAATGAATATTTTTCTTTTTCTGAAATTTTTTGCCTTTCCCCTATTTTTCCATTTATGGGCTACCTTAAAACAACCAAAACTCATGACTTTTCAAGTTTTTTTTATTACGCCTTACTCTCTTCGTCTTCAAATGAATAATGTTGCAAAACTAAATATCACAATAATAATATTATAATGATTAAATATTGTATTAACATTGCAAACCTCTTCCACTACTCTTGATTAAGTTTCTGGACTCTTGGTCTTTCTTTTTCCTATTCCTCCACACTACAAAAGCATAGATTACCAATGCTTTGTCATGACTCTCTAACGAAATATGTATAGAATGAAGAGGAGTAATCATATAAACAACGCAACATGTCACAAAATGGTATCATGCCTCATCTTTTACCTTTTAATTTACATTCTTCAATTTTCTTCTTCTTCTTTTTTTCCACTGCAAAGTATTATCTTCATAGTAAGGTTTCACTATGGCAGCATTATAAACATGTATTTGCTTAAGCGAGCACATGTGCATAGTGAAACCTTACTATGATATCTCACTATACCTTTTGAATTTCCTGCATATTTGTGTTCTAATATAATTTAACTTATTTTATAACTCAAAACGTTAATATTTATGTGATCCTTAAATGTTTATGCTCACCAATATTATGGGGTACACGCGCAATGCGCATTATAAGCATGAAAACTTTTGGTAAAGTTATTTTACTAAAATATTCTTCAAAAATTAAATGACCAAATTATCCTCTTTATTTAACCAACAATCTCTTCCTTGCCATAAAAAATCTGGAGAATATGACGAGTTATTTGCATTGAACTCAATTTAAGACAACATTCAACCTATTAAAATCTAATACTAACATAAATATAATGGGGAACGAAGGTGTGGAAGTTAGGAAAGAAAGGAAGTGAAAAAGACATGAATTATGTGGATTAGCTTGTGGAGGATACAGTGTTGCTCTCATCATCTTTTTGATGGTTGAAGTCCTATGCTATAATTTTGTTGTGTAAGCATTCTATCATTTTTCTTTTTTCTTTTTTTGTTTTTTTGTAAGGGGACTTTTCAAATGTACTTTTTAGTTTGACAAATACTTTATTTTCTGTCGGGTATGCATTAAGCTCTTAAAAAAACATAACTTTAATGGATCAGTATATACTTCGTCCATCTTAAATTATATGGGTAATACAATTCTTCAGGCCAGTGAGGAAAAATGACGAGGGGGAGCGAGGGAGATAAACGTTTGTATATTTACTCTTTGACTTTCTTTTTCTGTTTTGTTGAAGTTTGATTAAATAACTTTTGTCCAATTATGATTAATATCATATACTAATGATTTTTTTGGTAACTATACTCATTTGCTTCTAAATGGCAATGAAGACTTTCATATTTGGGGAGAAGTCATTCAATTTCTTTGAAGGACAAAGGTGTTACTTTATTGTTGACAACTAACTTTTTTGTTTTTTAATTGTTAATTTTTGCAATTCTTACAATGGACATCACAAGGTAATATTTTCAAAAAGATTTAGACCTTATTCAACTACGCTCGAATGTGTTGGAAAAATATTGAAGAAGATGGTACTGGAATCTTCATGTTGACAAGAGTGTGCTAGAATCATTATTTGTCCATATAGTAGGGAATTATCATTCTGCCATGTCTTATATAATTTTACTACCTTAGTTGAATATGCTAATATTAGTAGACGATCGAGTGGTATGTCAATAAGAGTGTAAATATCCTTTCATTTTATTCATTTGGGGCTTCATTCCATTTTGTAATTGTAAAATGTAAAATATAAATAGATATTCAAATTCTATATATTTTTTCCGATATATAATCAAATTCTCTTTTTTCTCTGAGTTCTGGTCTTTCTTCTTCATTTTTACCTCAATTACTCAAGAATTTTTGCAAGTTATAGTATAATATTACTACATACGTCCGTCCTTAGTTCCTTTTTTCCTCTTTCGGAGAATATTCCTTCCTTTTGGCCCCTTTCCCAATCCTAATCCGAAACCACCATTTCCATTATTTCATCCATTTTCTGGTTTCCTCAGCCATTTTGGCCATTCCTTGCCTGACGTAAAAGCCTTGTTAGAATTTGCATTATCTGCAAGTTATTATAAGGTTCATACGAATGCCAGGAAGGCTATGACATTGAACTCATGCTGAGTCAAAATTTAAAGTTTATGGGTTCTAAACTTGCCATCAAACTCATAATTGGTCTTAGCTACTAGGTTCGCAATTAAATAATTTTACATATTTAATGAACTTTATAATACAAAAACAAGATCAAAATAAAAATTATTGGGTTTATCTAAACTCGTACCTAATACTCTGGTTCCTCCCCGCTCCTAGGTGGCATCTTCCGATTAATCAACTTAATATTATTCAAGATAGAATTAGGTTGATCATGAAGTTGAGAGGGCGAGGATGAGAGTATCTTTTGGTAAGGACTTAGTTGGGGTTTTATGCAGGCAATGCGTGAATAAAAGCATATAAATTTCACCTTCCCAAGCCAAAAATCTCAAAGTACTCCAAAAATACTCCTAAAAATGGCAACAAATAGTCTTCTCCTCGTCCTTATTGTTAGTGCACTTGCTTTATCCATAGACGCTAGGAGCCTTGGAACAATGATAGGAGCAGTTTATAACCAGAAGTCATATTTTCCGCCTCCTTTACCGCCTGATTTTGGTGGATTTCGGGGTAGCAAGCCGATTGTTGAAGGTCATGGTCCACATGGTCATACAAGTTTAAATGGCAATGGAGGTTTTGGTGACTTCCCTAGAGGCGGAGCGAAGATTTCAATTTTATTGTTCTAAATATTAGAATGACGATTTCAAATGCTAATAACTGGATCTTAAATTTAATATTTGATGAAAATTTTAATACAAATATATTATTTGAGCAAAAGTTACTGGGTTCTGCCGAACCCGTAACTGGGCCATATAAAGAAATGTAGAATCGATGAGAACTTTGTTACTTGAAATGAAACTTTGGTTAATTGGTATTTAGTATTTATACATAGTCAATTGCCCCTAATATTTTCAATGTTTTCCTAGTCTCTTAATTACTCGCCACATCATATTGGAGCTTGACCGAAAATGTAGCCAGCCTTTTCAATTTGGGACCTCATTGATAATTTTGATTTCAAGACCATTATTTATATGAATATATGTAGGTTTATATGAAAATCTGAATTAATCCAGATAGGATATGAAACATTAGGGAAGAAACCAAAAAAATAAATAAAAAATCATGGATTGTAAATTAGCGTTCTTCTTTGGGTCTTTATGACATCTTACGATGTGATGATGCGCGCATTCCTACGCCATTCCTTTACAATTGTCATTCTACTTAGCTATTGGACAACATCAGTCAAAAATGAGAAATTAGAACAATTGCCTACAACGTTTTCACAGTCACGTATAAGAAAGTAATTATGTACGGTTGGTTATTAAACCACGATTTCTGTTGAACAAGGGTGTACATGACAGGGACGGCTCAATGAATCCCGTGGCCTAAAGCAAAATTATATTGAGAAATCCTTAAATTTATTTTATAAAATATTTACACTAATAATAAAATTTACTTTCTAATCAATAAATTAATCATTTAAGACAAAAATAAGCGAATTCCACATAAAAAAAAAAAAGAAGAGCACAAAAAATAAAATGGTTGACTATTAGATGTTAAGGTCCACAAAATTTTGATTTGGGTATCATCACAAACAAGAAAAAGAAATAAACGTACATAACGTAATAGCTTAAATTTGAGCATT